CCCCCCCCCCCCCCCCCCCAAATGATCTTTTTTACAAGTTATTTTATATAGTAGGATGAACATGAGTGACATATTTTAAGTTAAATCATACCCTTATTTAATCGGTGGCAGCAGGAATTCGCTTTTGATTGATGCTATAATAACAACATCTTAAATTGTTTGTTTTTTAGTAACATGAGATCGAGGACGAGCTCCAATGCCAGTTCTCGCCGGTCGTACAGTTCCTACCGAGACTACGCCCGTGACCTGATAGAGGGCAGCCAGCGATCCATACACGGTATGGTTAGTGGTAGTTATGAACTGTATGACACCACAAACCATGGTAGGGGAACTGGAGTGATCTCCCCTCCATCATCCGTTGTGTCCGACCTGGAATCGTTACCAGATTCTATTCTTAGTGAACAATACGCCAGCAATGCTACAACCTCTCATCTGAACACGGATCCTTCCTTCATTAGAACCAGACCAATCAACTCCGCCGACATTAAGTCCCGGATAAGGAAACAGCGTAAGATACCGTTAACGTCATAGTTTCCACTCAGACGTTGTATCTATAGTGTGCATAGTCAAATATATAAGGAAGGGAATGGATAATAATGCTGATTTATTCCAAGTAAGACTTGGAAATCGTTTGATACATTTGTGATGCTCTACAAACATGTTTTAATTTTATCGAATGTTTTATCTCAGGAAATGACTCTTTCCTTGTCGGATATCTGATAACGAATGTTAAATACGTTAGTGATGTTTTTGTGAATAGCGATGCATTTCATTCGTAAATGTCTGTGATATTATTGGTGCCAAAGTTGAATGTCAGAGGTATGAGAATGAGATCGCATGGAAACCTGTAGGAACTATGATTTATCAAGAAGGTTTCTTTTTATTAAATTATTAAAGTTTTAAGTGGTAAGTAATTAACCGAATTAATTTATGCTTGCATGGTGTTGTGCTGGGGATAAAGGTGTCGTTTACCTTTGGCGTTAAGAGTATTTGGTAGAAGTACCTTGCCCTTGGAATACGATTTTACGAAATGTTCTTTGCAGCATATCAAATGAAACGTAATGATAGATGATGGTTACGAAAATGTTTGCGTTTTCGAGTGATTTAAAGAAAAGAGAATATTTTTTAAAGACTTGATATATTTTATTATGCAGAATGTGTAGCTACTGTATGTCGATATGCTCGTGTGAGTAGAAATGTTGAAACTGCGTTGGTGCATGTGTATGGGCTGTTGAATATTGAACAGATTTCCTGCGACCCCTTTAGACGTCCCATTGGCGATCAACACATTTTGGAGGATGCGATCGTCTACATTTAGGACCATTATAATGTTTTGTTAAATCTATTTATTTACATTGTGTCATTTTACATAATTGTTTGAGTTTTTCTGATTTATTAACGGCGATGATATTCATATTGAATAATCTACTTAATAAATGGCCGTTTGTAACATTTTGTTGGGATTCCGTCCAAGTTTAGTGAAATTATAAATTAAGTCGAATGCCTTTCTCGTCTTTCCGAGTTCTCTGCACTTACTGAGGACAACACATATGTATCAGGTTCCGTGCACATAATTTACCTTAAAGCTGCTTTAATGACTAGTCAGAGCAAAGATTGTGATAAGTGTCTGTGATTAGGGCACTCAAGGGAGTCAACTCTTGTTAAAATAATTAAACAATTTTACCAGATATCATTATATTTAAATATCTGTGTAAAGATAGACAAGAGATGTCCATTGGTATCGCTGACTTATAGAAAGATGTGCTTTTATACAACCGCCTGTTGTTTGTGCCTGTGATGTAGCTGTTTAGACTGACGACCATAACCAGACAGTCCCTCGGGTCGACAGCAGGGCTGCATGGTTGGAAAGAGGTAGTTTAGGACTGGCTTGTTAGAGTCAACATCAAAGTTTGTTAGAGACACTTACTTTTCTGTTCTTTTGTTTGGCTCTTTAAATTCAAAAGAGTAAAAACATATATTTAAAACAGTATAATTTGATTAGCATAAAGGTACAACATTGTTAATTTGCAGGTGTATTTGTGTCTTTATATCTCATTTATTTCAATGTTTTTCGCAAAATTTATTTCGAAAATATTGATCGATGGTTAATGAAGGAAATAAGTTTTTCTCATTTCGTTGTTTTCATGCGAAGATGCCTATATAGAGAATGTGTTTGAATATGGAATATTATAGCAACAGTAATTTTATACAATATCGGTTCTACATCCATCCATGATAAAATACGATGCTAGGCAGCATTGTTTGGTGCCTTAATTTTTGCATCATCATTATTTATATTCCCGGTATTATTTTTTGCATGCGTTTGTTTAGATCATTGTTTCAGTATTTAGTGTTTTTAACGATGATCAGTATTTTGGAATATATCTTATACACAAAGCATCATGATCAATACTAACAAAATGAATGGGAATATATATATATAAGGCATTTAAATAAGTTCTCGATGTATATATAAAAGATATGATATTTATACGATATTTTTGTACCAATATGCTACATTGTTCAGTGTATCACTCACATATCATCCAACCATTGACACACAATCATCAATGTATTTGACATCAATAAAAAATAATATAAACAATAACAGATTGAAGCAGTTTTACCTTGTTTGTCTCCTACTCTTATCCTGTATAATACCGTTTACTCACCGTAGGAGCTAAAGAGCGACATCCTTTGGCAATCAGTTCCTGTAGGTTTTGGGGCAATACCGGTAAATTTTATTGCAATACCGGTAGTTTTAGATAGATTGGTGAGGCAGTTAATCTGAAAGGTTACCAATCTGCAAAAAATAAAAGCACACATAAACGAACAAAGAGCACAAAACAGTATTCAAACTCGGTAAAAAAATCTATGAAAAAAAGGACTTAATATGAACAAAGAAAAAACCCATGCATACCCTTGGAAAGATTCCAGGAGAAGAAGACCAGTTACGAAGAGTAAGTGATTCTTATTGTACAGCTTAGCAGTAAAATATGTTTTAAAAAATATTAGGGTAGACAAATAATTAGAGAGTGACTTGTCCTTCATTCCAAGTGCATAAAGATGTTCTGGTTATTGAAAGACAATACATCATCTATATATCTGAAAGTAAAATTAAAACAATTGACAACGTGTCGTCAGAGCTGATAAGCTCTTACATCAATTCAACCTCTTATCAAAACAAGGCTGCATATCCCAGGTTTGGGCGGACAAGCATGGTGTATGTACGGACTTCGACATCGTTAGGCATAGAGGTTCCTCGTGAGAAAGCCAATGTATATTGATGCTCTGGCTGGTATGTTGTGATGTGTTTTCGCCGTGATAGGGCCGAGGCGCTCGCGACTCCCAAATACTTACTGCATTAATTGGTAAATAGACGTTTGTGGATTTCATTTTCGGCTTATATTGAAATCATAAAAAGTAATGCGATTTAGATTTAAGCATGTTTATCTTGCCTACATTTTTAAAATGAAGAAATCGGTAGAATATAGGAAAAAACGCTACCAAGCACATGCGACAAAAAATCAAATACATGTCTACGGTTAGATACTAGAAAGAAAAATAAATTAAAAGTTCAACAGGGTTGTCTTGCACGTTTTGAGACTGGAATACCAGACGTTCAGTGTTGCCTAGATATTTATAGGTGATGCTTTAACGACAGTGTGATAAAGGACAGTCAATTTGTTCCTTCAGCAGTATCTACTTGGGTATTGTAATCCCTCTAGTGTGTATCTACTTCAGGCTTGGAATCCGTCCATGGTAAGATTTCTTATGATGTTTAGATAGTGGAGTTCACAGTAGCAAGGAATGAATGATGTTTAAGCAAAGAGGTTGAAAGTAGATCAGACAGTAAGCGGTCGGTCAAGAGCAGGGTTCTTATTTCACATAGGACCTTCATGGAAATATGTCTGCCACTGTTGCCCTGAAAGAGACGGCGAGTAAGTTGTGGTATTGTTACATCATGTAGAAAACCCCAATGGTGGACAGACCTAAACATGGCCCAGGTCAAAAGTTTAGTAAAGGGTAAAGTGATGTGACAAAGAAAACAGAACGGTTGACATGCAGGCAAATAACAGCGTAGGCATATAACACGATTTCAGTCATTACCAGGTCTTTTTCATTTCATGTCCTTGAGTAAAAAGATATAATGTACAGGACACAAATATTGAGTTTTCTCATACTAATTCTGGTGTGCGTGCCATTAGTAGGGTTTACATACAAATGATGATCTGGACTAGGTGTAGTACGGGCTGTAGAGGACGCTACAGGTGAAACCTATACCAGTGTTGGGTGTATTACATATCACACCTGACTGACAGATTGTAATGATCTAGACTATGTGTAGTACGTATACGGGCTGTAGAAGACGCTACAGGTGAAGAGCCTATACCAGTGTTGGTAATGACGGGAGTATATTGATCATGTTCCAGCCTACTCGTGTATATTGCGGTATCACGGCATTCACCCGGCACGGATAGGAACTTATTCTTAATTATCACGGATTTATTTTCTTTCAAAATCACTGACGCATCTTCAGTAAACGATTTTACATGCGAAATGTACCCATGTATGGCAAATAGGTTTTTAATAGATTTTGCACATACTTGTCTTTCAGACAGTTTATATATTCAGATGGAAGATCCTTCGACAGGTACTATGGTTTAGCAATCAATACAAACATACACAGGAAATTGTACATTTATACGTAGAAATTTGGTTAATTTAAAAACAAGACTCGATTAGTCATGGTATTGATTAAACATTATAATGTGTCCAAATAAACACGGCCAGTGTTCTGTTAAAAGGAGAAGTGACCATAGTAGCAGGTGTCTATAATATCAGAGACATATAATATATACGTCTCTAATAATATCATAGAAATCCAGACACTATACTCCTCTGCCGCCCTCGGTGTGCTAAGCGGATTACGTCTGTCCGTGATGACTTCTGTGTCGTCCTTTGTGTTTACTGCCGGGGACGTGTTAACCAGTGTGTTTCTGTAGGAACATCCTTACATGACGAATCCTCTATCAATGCATGTCTAACGTCGACTACAACCGAGGGATGGAGTTCTATTTCAAACAAATAAAGTGAACTATCTCTCCGTGTTATAAACGCTATTTTTGGTGATCCTTTACACCAGGTCTCGTTATTTACTGTCAAAAAACATGATCAAAGAATGCATATATTTTTGATCACAAGTATGTAGAATTTCTGGCCTAATCCACTCTGAGATTGCTCTTTAGAGACCTTCACCAGATCGGCAAATAAATCACTTGAGTTTTGAGCAAACATGACATTTTTGTAAATATGTTTTGAAAAAGCCTATTTTAAGACATACGAGGGCTTTATTATCAGCACTGTACTCTCCGATAAAAGTGTTACCGTGAGAGTGCATGGCGCTGCACCTTATTATAGACTCATGTTGACACACGTCTGCCAAACTGTATTGACGATGTCAACAGAACCAATTTGTCTCTCATTGTTAACGACTTGACGTTTAAAAAAACCTGCAGGTGAATTAGTATTCACTCCAGTTTAATCCACTCCTGTTAATACCACATCAGAATGGCTAGCCACATTCACCCCTGCTAAATAACACGCCATAATGTGTCGTCACATCTACTCCTGTTAAGAACGCATCGGAACATGGAGTCACATCAACTCCTGTAAATAACACATCACAATGTGTTGTATTAATAACACATCAGAACGTATAGTCACATTCATTCCCGTAAACAACACATTAGAATGTGAAGTCACATTCACTCCTGTTAATAACACATCAGAATGTGTAGTTACATTCACTCCTGTTAATAACACATCAGAATGTGTAGTTACATTCACTCCTGTTAATAACACATCAGAATATGTAGTCACATTCACTCCTGTTAATAACACATCAGAATGTGTAGTTACATTCCCTCCTGTTAATAACACATCAGAATATGTAGGCACATTCACTCCTGTTAATAACACATCAGAATGTGTAGTTACATTCACTCCTGTTAATAACACATCAGAATGTGAAGTCACATTAACCCCTGTCAATAACACATCAGAATGTGTCGTTACATTCACCCCTGTGAATAACACATCAGAATGTGTAGTTACATTCAGTCCTGTTTATAACACAACATGATGTGTAGTTACATTCACTCCTGTTAATAACACATCATAATGTGTAGTTACATTCACTCCTGTTAATAACACATCAGAATGTGTAGTTAAATTCACTCCTGTTAATAACACATCAGAATGTGTAGTCACATTCACTCCTGTTATTAACACAGAATGTGTTGTCACATTCACTCCTGTTATTAACACATCAAATGCGTAGTCACATTCACTCCTGTTAATAACACAGAATGTGTAGTCACATTCACTCCTGTTATTAACACATCAAATGCGTAGTCACATTCACTCCTGTTAATAACACAGAATGTGTACTCACATTCACTCCTGTTATTAACACATCAAATGCGTAGTCACATTCACTCCTGTTAATAACACAGAATGTGTACTCACATTCACTCCTGTTATTAACACATCAAATGCGTAGTCACATTCACTCCTGTTAATAACACAGAATGTGTACTCACATTCACTCCTGTTATTAACACATCAAATGTGTAGTCACATTCACTCCTATTAATAACACAGAATGTGTAGTCACATTCACTCCTGTTAATAACACAGAATGTGTAGTCACATTCACTCCTGTTATTAGCACAGAATGTGTAGTCACATTCACTCCTGTTATTAGCACAGAATGTGTAGTCACATTCACTCCTGTTATTAACACAGAATGTGTTGTCACATTCACTCCTGTTATTAACACATCAAATGCGTAGTCACATTCACTCCTGTTAATAACACAGAATGTGTACTCACATTCACTCCTGTTATTAACACATCAAATGTGTAGTCACATTCACTCCTGTTAATAACACAGAATGTGTAGTCACATTCACTCCTGTTATTAACACAGAATGTGTTGTCACATTCACTCCTGTTATTAACACATCAAATGTGTAGTCACATTCACTCCTATTAATAACACAGAATGTGTAGTCACATTCACTCCTGTTAATAACACAGAATGTGTACTCACATTCACTCCTGTTATTAACACATCAAATGTGTAGTCACATTCACTCCTATTAATAACACAGAATGTGTAGTCACATTCACTCCTGTTAATAACACAGAATGTGTAGTCACATTCACTCCTGTTAATAACACATCGGAACGCGTTGTTTTCGGTTACTAACAGCATGTATATCATGTGTTAATCTGTAGGTATCCAGATTTCGAGAACTGTTAAATATGTTATTTCGTTGCTTTTTATTGAAATGACATGTCGCTTCATTGAGTTTTCTCGATTATTTTTAATTTTACACGTTATCAGAGATCGGGACATTTGCAATTTAAAAGGCCAGTGAATAATGTATCACTGATGTCTTATCAACTAACACAATCCATTAAAATGTTGATGCACTGTTATACAACGTTATGTGCGTTTAATTCTAATTAAGTTAATGGAGCACGATTAATGGAGCACGAACTCCAGAAGTATTCCTCTAGAGCAAATCTTGATACTACACACGCCTCACTTAACGGCAATCATTGTAATACCACCTCCAGCTACACACGCCTCACTTAACGGCAATCATTGTAATACCACCTCCAGCTACACACGCCTCACTTAACGGCAATCATTGTAATACCACCTCCAGCTACACACGCCTCACTTAACGGCAATCATTGTAATACCACCTCCAGCTACACACGCCTCACTTAACGGCAATCATTGTAATACCACCTCCAGCTACACACGCCTCACTTAACGGCAATCATTGTAATACCACCTCCAGCTACACACGCCTCACTTAACGGCAATCATTGTAATACCACCTCCAGCTACACACGCCTCACTTAACGGCAATCATTGTAATACCACCTCCAGCTACACACGCCTCACTTAACGGCAATCATTGTAATACCACCTCCAGCTACACACGCCTCACTTAACGGCAATCATTGTAATACCACCTCCAGCTACACACGCCTCACTTAACGGCAATCATTGTAATACCACCTCCAGCTACACACGCCTCACTTAACGGCAATCATTGTAATACCACCTCCAGCTACACACGCCTCACTTAACGGCAATCATTGTAATACCACCTCCAGCTACACACGCCTCACTTAACGGCAATCATTGTAATACCACCTCCAGCTACACACGCCTCACTTAACGGCAATCATTGTAATACCACCTCCAGCTACACACGCCTCACTTAACGGCAATCATTGTAATACCACCTCCAGCTACACACGCCTCACTTAACGGCAATCATTGTAATACCACCTCCAGCTACACACGCCTCACTTAACGGCAATCATTGTAATACCACCTCCAGCTACACACGCCTCACTTAACGGCAATCATTGTAATACCACCTCCAGCTACACACGCCTCACTTAACGGCAATCATTGTAATACCACCTCCAGCTACACACGCCTCACTTAACGGCAATCATTGTAATACCACCTCCAGCTACACACGCCTCACTTAACGGCAATCATTGTAATACCACCTCCAGCTACACACGCCTCACTTAACGGCAATCATTGTAATACCACCTCCAGCTACACACGCCTCACTTAACGGCAATCATTGTAATACCACCTCCAGCTACACACGCCTCACTTAACGGCAATCATTGTAATACCACCTCCAGCTACACACGCCTCACTTAACGGCAATCATTGTAATACCACCTCCAGCTACACACGCCTCACTTAACGGCAATCATTGTAATACCACCTCCAGCTACACACGCCTCACTTAACGGCAATCATTGTAATACCACCTCCAGCTACACACGCCTCACTTAACGGCAATCATTGTAATACCACCTCCAGCTACACACGCCTCACTTAACGGCAATCATTGTAATACCACCTCCAGCTACACACGCCTCACTTAACGGCAATCATTGTAATACCACCTCCAGCTACACACGCCTCACTTAACGGCAATCATTGTAATACCACCTCCAGCTACACACGCCTCACTTAACGGCAATCATTGTAATACCACCTCCAGCTACACACGCCTCACTTAACGGCAATCATTGNTTCATTGTAATATAATCTCCAGCTACAACGACACAACACGGAGATCATTGTAATACAACCTCCAGATACAACGACACAACACGGAGATCATTGTGATACAACCTCCAGCTACAACGACACTACATGGAGATCATTGTAATATCACCTCCAGGTACAACGACACAACACGGATATCATTGTAATACAACCTCCAGCTACAGCGATACAACACGGAGATAATTGTAATACAACCTCCAGCTACACCGACACAACATGGAGTTCATTGTAATATAATCTCCAGCTACAACGACACAACTCGGAGATCATTGTAATACAACCTCCAGATACAACGACACAACACGGAGATCATTTTAATACAACCTCCAACTACAACGACACAACACGGAGATTATTGTAATACAACCTCCAGCTACGACGACACAACATGGAGTTCATTGAAATATAATCTCCAGCTACAACGACACAACACGAAGATCATTGTAATACAACCTCCAACTACAACGACACACCACGGAGATCATTGTAATACAACCTCCAGCTTCAACGACACAACACGGAGATCATTGTGATACAACCTCCAGCTACAACGACACAACATGGCGTTCATTGTAATATAATCTCCAGCTACAACGACACAACACGGAGATCATTGTAATATCACCTCCAGCTACAACGACACAACACGGATATCTAATGGAATGATCCGCCAAACAACGTTTCGCTGTAAAATTCATTATGACGTATCAATAAAGATACGCTCTTTGACTCAATTTTATATGTAAATTTTGAACAGTTCATGGCCCGTATTAATGAAAGTGTTCTCATGCTCAAGCACGGATTATGTGCTAAAACCAATTTTCTGTCAACTAAAAATATTCTGCCTTAAGTTTTTTCAATTTGTTTCCAAATCATTGACAAAATAGAAAAAAAAATGATTAATTTATAATCGGAACAAGAAATTAGGCTTGAGCACAAATCCATCCTTGAGCATGATAACTGTTTCATAAATACGGTCCATAATTGATTGGAAGCCCTCTGTACATATAATTAGTGTGATTTGGAAAAAGTAACAACGTCCGGTATTGGTTTATTTACATTGTATAAGAAACAATTTTGGTCGTGACAGAGCACATCATTCAAGTAAAAAGTCCACCATTGCATAATACTCACCGCATATTACCTTACCAAATGTAGAAAAAACATTTACTTCAGCTATATGGATCAATCATTGACGTCATCATTACTATGAAGTCCTGATAATAGTAACATTTGTGTATAATTTTATGACAAAATACCTAGCAATAATCCACCAAAACATAGTGTGATCAGTTAATTAGAGAAACTTAAATAATAAACCGTTTTAATCTAGATAAAGCAACCCATGGCACAAAGCTTAGGATGGAACCAAGCACTTAGTCAAAACTCGATCCGGGACGGAAGCAGTTATCGGAATGTAGAATTAATTAAAGTGGGGTTACCCTAATGTAAATAAGTATACATTAAGAAGTTAAGGACAGAATGGGCTGTCAATCGGGTATATAGACGTACAGTAAACACAGGTATGATTACAGGTGTGACAATACCAATCTATGCCTGTCTGATTAATATGGAGTTCTGCCTCGACGATTCCCGTTACATCTAAATGGCTGTTACTTCACGTCCCTGTAGCACCAGTATAAAGAACCCAGACTTCGTAAGAAAGGCGGACTTGTCGTGTTTACTCGGAGAGTGAATGCCATATTAATTGATTGTGAATGGAGGTACGATGTGGGATTGATAAATATATGGTCCCTTTAATATCGTATATGACACACGCCCCGTGAGTTGAGAAGGCCGGGTGAGTCTCCCTCAGTCCCACATTGACCGGGTCGTGTCCCGCTCCTCGGACCAACGCTGCAGAATACACACGACAGTGGGAGGGTTAACCGATATCACGGTTTAACTTAAACACACAAACCTGACAAATACTTAACGTTTACTTTGTATATTATTATAAATACACGAGGTGAAAGCCTGGGATTTAACGGACGTGTATTACCTCGGTCGTGTAGAGATCACCTGTTTTGATTGATGTGTGAAATATTGAAGACTGTTTTTATTGAAACTTATCGTTAGTTCTCTTACACAGTGAACGAGAACAGCATGTTTGGGGATCGAACCGCAATCTTCATCTGGGTCTAAGTCGGACCAATTCAGACAAAAATATGTTTTTGGAAAATATTTTATTATACGTTTTCTGGGATACTTTTCATTACAACTGTGACAAGTGTTTGTTAGTGTGAGTACAGCTCTCCAGAATGGCTGATGAGGATGGAGGCGCCTGGTACTTCATCACCGACAGTAACATCATCAAGAACTTGTAAGTTGAGGCCTGCTCCAATGTATATATCTGTCCCCATCATCCGAATAAGTGTGTGCTTCATATACTCATCTTTTATTTCTCATCAAAACATTCACGTTCATGATTCATATTCAAATTATTTTTGATAAAAACATTTTGCTTCAGTCTGTTGCCTGAAGGCAAAATAAACACCATTAAACACCTCAGATTACTCACATCAATAAACACATCACACTACTGACAACATTAAACACCTCGGACTACTCACATCATTAAACACATCAGACTACTCACATCATTAAACACCTCAAACTACTCACATCATTAAACACTTCAGACTACTCCCATCATTAAACACATCGGACTACTCACATCATTAAACACCTCAGACTACTCACATCATTAAACACCTCAGACTACTCACATCATTAAACACCTCAGACTACTCACATCATTAAACACCTCAGACTACTCACATCATTAAACACCTCAGACTACTCACATCATTAAACACCTCAGACTACTCACATCATTAAACACCTCAGACTACTCACATCATTAAACACCTCAGACTACTCACATCATTAAACACCTCAGACTACTCACATCATTAAACACCTCAGACTACTCACATCATTAAACACCTCAGACTACTCACATCATTAAACACCTCAGACTACTCACATCATTAAACACCTCAGACTACTCACATCATTAAACACCTCAGACTACTCACATCATTAAACACCTCAGACTACTCACATCATTAAACACCTCAGACTACTCACATCATTAAACACCTCAGACTACTCACATCATTAAACACCTCAGACTACTCACATCATTAAACACCTCAGACTACTCACATCATTAAACACCTCAGACTACTCACATCATTAAACACCTCAGACTACTCACATCATTAAACACCTCAGACTACTCACATCATTAAACACCTCAGACTACTCACATCATTAAACACCTCAGACTACTCACATCATTAAACACCTCAGACTACTCACATCATTAAACACCTCAGACTACTCACATCATTAAACACCTCAGACTACTCACATCATTAAACACCTCAGACTACTCACATCATTAAACACCTCAGACTACTCACATCATTAAACACCTCAGACTACTCACATCATTAAACACCTCAGACTACTCACATCATTAAACACCTCAGACTACTCACATCATTAAACACCTCAGACTACTCACATCATTAAACACCTCAGACTACTCACATCATTAAACACCTCAGACTACTCACATCATTAAACACCTCAGACTACTCACATCATTAAACACCTCAGACTACTCACATCATTAAACACCTCAGACTACTCACATCATTAAACACCTCAGACTACTCACATCATTAAACACCTCAGACTACTCACATCATTAAACACCTCAGACTACTCACATCATTAAACACCTCAGACTACTCACATCATTAAACACCTCAGACTACTCACATCATTAAACACCTCAGACTACTCACATCATTAAACACCTCAGACTACTCACATCATTAAACACCTCAGACTACTCACATCATTAAACACCTCAGACTACTCACATCATTAAACACCTCAGACTACTCACATCATTAAACACCTCAGACTACTCACATCATTAAACACCTCAGACTACTCACATCATTAAACACCTCAGACTACTCACATCATTAAACACCTCAGACTACTCACATCATTAAACACCTCAGACTACTCACATCATTAAACACCTCAGACTACTCACATCATTAAACACCTCAGACTACTCACATCATTAAACACCTCAGACTACTCACATCATTAAACACCTCAGACTACTCACATCATTAAACACCTCAGACTACTCACATCATTAAACACCTCAGACTACTCACATCATTAAACACCTCAGACTACTCACATCATTAAACACCTCAGACTACTCACATCATTAAACACCTCAGACTACTCACATCATTAAACACCTCAGACTACTCACATCATTAAACACCTCAGACTACTCACATCATTAAACACCTCAGACTACTCACATCATTAAACACCTCAGACTACTCACATCATTAAACATCTCAGACTACTCACATCATTAAACACCTCAGATTAAGTACACCATGAAATACCTTAGACTACGTATACCACAAAACACCTCAGACTACTTACACCATTAAACAACTCAGACTACTTACATCATTAAACACCTCAGACTACCTACACCATTACATACCTTAGACTACTTACATCATTAAACACCTCAGACTACCTACACCATTAAATACCTTAGACTACTTACATCATTGAACAACTCAGACTTCTTACATCATTAAACGCCTCAGACTACTCACATCATTAAACACCTCAGACTACTCACATCATTAAACACCTCGGACTACTCACATCATTAAACACCTCAGATTAAGTACACCATGAAATACCTTAGACTACGTATACCACAAAACACCTCAGACTACTTACACCATTAAACAACTCAGACTACTTACATCATTAAACGCCTCAGACTACCTACACCATTAAATACCTTAGATTACGTAAACCACAAAACACCTCAGACTTCTACACCATTAAACACTTCAGACGATTTATATCATTAAATGCCTCAGACTACTTACATAATTAAACGCCTCAGACTACCTACACCATTAAATACCTTAGATTACTTACATCATTTGTTTTATGAAAAACTGAATGAATATGATATAATTTGTTGACGGTAGAATAAATGATTTAAAATATATTTCTGTTATGACACATTTAAAACTTGAATTATTAAACGAACATTTATATTGATATATATTGTTTATTTTGATAAAATCGGCTAGTTTAACTGATGATGTGTTTACTTTGGGAAAACATGTGTTCATGCATGTGTTTGGTCTCGACATTTTGCACTGTCGACTAACTAATGCCTAAATCGAATCGAATTGTCAAATTATAGACCGGTAATCTTCTTTATTTTCTGTCTCCGTTCATGTTTAAATGGCAGTTACCTTAGAATCTAGTGGTTTGATTTAATACACTATGATTGCCTTTTATCGACATGAACGCCTTTTAGGACGATCAAGGTGAGGCTTTTGACGGCCTACAGGACGTAATCTTTGACTTATATACTTCGCTGAATCTTGTCACTCAACAATGCATGTACGTACTGTTCCTCTGTCATCGTTTGGAATTAAATTGCATCAAGTGTCGTTTTAGGACAGAAGGATGTGCGTCATCTTTTTACGCAAATGTTGCCATTGTGTGAGATTTATTATGTTGTACAAATGATGAAGCCGCTCTTTTGAAGTTTTAGTTATTTCATATCAACTTCAGAAATTCAACACGACAGGAAATTAGCTGTATTTTTTCCCAATATTGGTTCTGAAGCTCCTTTGTAGTATATGGAAAGAGCCCCCGATAAAACCTCTAGCAGGTGTATGGGATTATGTACGTTGGGTGCTTCCAACACGTAGCGCAACACATGCCTCTTTAGACGCTTCCAGGACGTGTCGTACACGAGGTTTATTAGTGACGCTTCACGACGTGGTGTACTGGAATCCGATTTGGACGCTTTCATGACGTCATGTAACATAGTCTTGTCCTTTTAGATGTCCTCGTGACGTGGCGTAACAAAAACGTTTTCGCGGTTTCAGGACGTCGCGTACCTGAAGACCCTTTATACGATTCCGGAACATTTCGTATTTTCAGATCCTTGGTGCAATTCATTGCATATTGCTGTGATAGAAAATCTTATTTAGCAAATTATATTTGGCTTTTTATATGGTTTGCTCACTTTTGAAACCGATGGGTCGAAGACTCAAGGTAATAAAGAACTTGAACTTGAACTTGCATGAACTCTTTAGTGTTCCTTAAGAATATTTAATGTTGTGCTTTCGAAATCTAGCGTGTTTGTCTCGCCGCTACCTCTGGCAGGAAGTTAGGTTATCTCAAACCTAGGTATGTTACGTGTATTGTGCTTTATTGTTTATCTCCCGGTCCCCGTGTGTCTGATCATGACACGGAAGTTTGGACCCGGCATAGGCACACGTGACGTTAAGTTGATGACGACTGTATGAGGCGGTACGTCAAACTTGAGCTGGTTTATGCTGATTGATCAGCCGTTTGTGATTCGTCTATCAAGTCAATAAAGTGAACAAAACTTGGAAATCAAATAAAACGGCGAAATACATACAATTTAAAACCCACACAAATATTAATTACATGCATTGCCTTCGTCGATATCCATTGAATACGTTAATGGAAACAATTTCAAAGATATTTGTATTTTATGTGTTGGTGACTGGATATACCGAGGTGTCTATATCTGTGTATACTGTTGTATATCATATGGCACGTGTCACAAGGTATTTATAACTACACTGGGTAGTGACGAAATATACTGGGGTGTAAATATGTGTATATAACGACACTGGAGAGTGACGGGATATACCGGGGTCTATATCTGTGTACTATAACTACCCTGGATAGTGACGGGATAAACCGGTGTCTATATCTGTGTACTTATACCGGGGTCTATATATGTACCAGAACTACACAGAATAGTGACGGGATATATCGGGGCCTTTATCTGTACTATAACTACACTGGATAATGACGGGATATACCGGGGCCTTTATCTGTACCAGAACTACACAGGATAGTGACGGGATATACCGGGCCTTTATCTGTACTATAACTACACAGAATAGTGACGGGATATATCGGGGCCTTTATCTGGAGTATGACGACACTGGATAATGACGGGATATACCGGGGCCTTTATCTCTACCAGAACTACACAGGATAGTGACGGCATATACCGGGCCTTTATCTGTACTATAACTACACTGGATAGTGACGTAATATACAGGGGTCTATATCTGTACTATAACTTCGCTGGATAGAGACGGGATATATCGGGGTCCTTATCTGTACTATAACTACACTGGATAATGACGGGATATACCGGGGTCTATATATGTACCAGAA